TGGGCTAGCATCTTTATATTATTCCATGTCTTCCCACTTTATTGTACATAAGTTTCCGCGACTCTTGTGGACGGGTTTCATTTCCAAGATTTCTTCTTTTTTCCCCTTCTGTTTGTCTCCTTTTCCTTATCCCTCACTTCCTCTTAGGATTTTACAACCTGCCTTGTTCACAGCTTTGTTATGGTTCTGGTTGCTGCTAGATCTATGCATTATTGTAACTGTGTTGAACTCCAACGGGCGCACGGAGCAGCTGTGGACAACTGGGTACTTTGTAAGGTTTCCTTGTCTGCTCAGAACGGTAAGTTAAAACAATCCAGCTCGTAGGCAGCGCATTGGATTCAGCGCGCCACGAGAGACGTTTTAGAACGTAACTTATTTGAGAAAAATAAGCAACCCCCAACTAAACAACATCACCCCCAAAAATACAAAAACAAAAAAAAAGCAAAAAAAAAACCCAACAAAAAACAAATTGCCAAAAAACGAACAAAAAACAAACAACAACAAAACAACAACAACATTTATCATATCCAAACTACAGCACCTTTATGCAATTGTAGGACACTCCTCTCATCTTTCTTGATTCCAAACGTAGTAACTATGTCTTTCCTTTGGAGTCTGTCAGGGAGTTCAAGGTCTAACGGAGGGTAGTGGTAACTGGGCAATCTACTTTCTCAATGTAGAATAGAACCCAGGCAAAACTGTATTATGCAAACTGCTTTATTAATCGGTATCTAAGGACAGCCGAAAAAAAGAATATTTGGAGAGTTTCAGCCATCTTCATAATAATCCTGGCATCACAGAGCCAGTCGAGGAAAACAAATGTTAGAATTTCGTGAGGGGAAGTATGTTTTATCGAGTATCTTTGTCTTTCTACTGGGAAGCTGCGTCCCGTTCCAGCCGGGATGGCCTCGCCACTCGCCAGTCGTTATACATCACCCAAAATAAATTATGAGCTTTCGCTCGAAAAATCAATTCCATGTTTTTAGACAACCAGCGACCCTTGTTCCCTTCAAATAAAATGAATAATAACCGTAAGTAAAAGACCTCGGCATCTGATTTGTAACAAAGAAAGATACAAAAGGTCTTTTTTGTCGTCATCCATTATACTCCTACTATCTTAATCATCTTATTATATAAGTATTCCTATGACCTTTGTAACATGCGTGCGTATGCGAGTGTGCACGTGTGTGTCCAGAGCCAACCTGGACTGAAGAAGATACATACAGGATCCAAGTAGAAAAACTAGCATACTCCATAGATCAATTTCCGAGTTTGGGAACTAGACTCATGTCTTTTGAGTGCTCATCAACGAAGAACATAGCCGTTTCATCATATATTTATAACGCTTTCATTAAAATAAATTGTGAGCACTATCTTTATTAATGCCCTCTAACGAAATGCATTTGGCCACAGATATCCATAGTTCATAATAATGACAACGTGAATCACGTTATAATTCAGTGGCCCCAGAAATGTTTTCTTACTTTCGTTACCGGTACAGTTATATGTAAATTATTAGCTACGACTTTGAAGAGAGCGAGCGTAGACAAAAGATAAATAGAATGAGGGAGAGAAAGAGGGAGGGAGGGAGAGAGAGAGAGAGAGAGAGAGAGAGAGAGAGAGAGAGAGAGAGAGAGAGAATTACAATCGTGCTAGAAAGAAAAGTTATAAGATTATCGATTTATTAGACTTTTGTTTCGTACAGCTTTGTTTTATTCTCAATATCCGCAGCGACTCGGATCGTTTTCCCCACACAGAAAAACAATCGTTTGAAATAGAAAATAGGGTTATGTTGTTCAAAGAAATACTTTTCAAAAGATGGACTTCTTCGTTTATATTACAATACGTATTGTATGGACTGTGTTTTAATTACTTTTTAAAGCGGTACCTTTCAACAGTGTAACAGTTACCGTACCTTGCCGGAGAGCTCTTTAGTGTTCTAAAAGAGAAGTTACCAAAGAACTTAAGTAATGTTTCTATCTCCTAGCCCTTTTTACGCTTAACATAACCTCTTTGCGCTTAACCGTTAACACCTTGAGGTCGTGGTAGTAAAAAATGAATGACCAGTTCAGAGTTCTCAAGGTCTGCACGTCGATGTCCAAGAATCAATAAATCTCACGGTATAGCTACTGCTAGCTATGACAGATTCTGATAGGGATAAGCCCAGAGACAAAGGTTTCTTAACATACAGATCGATTAATATCTTTATGGCAATATCTCGCTGGGAGTACAACCTTCATCAAAATGTCCCTGCATTCCACGGAAGCGTTGGACAAAGACGTAATTGCTCGCAGTGACGAATCGAATCGACTTTTATGGAAACGTTTTGACTTAGATCAAGGGGCTTTTATTTTTGTCAAGAGCGGTGAGGAATCGATGTCTTTATGTGTGGGAGAGCAGGTAGCCGAACTGTTCGAATGCATGGTGCATGTCTGTTTCAATCTTGCAGATTGCAAGCATGGGGCAATAGAAAAACACATTTAATATATATCAGATTGGTATGTTACAGTTAAAAAGTATATAATCAGAGTAATCACAAATAGTAACATATATGCCCCCCCAAAACCCCCCCCAATAAAAAACTTAACAAACAAAACAAACAAAACAACCCAACATAAGAGTAAATCAACAGCATACAAATGAGTCAATTGACCAGCCCGTCAAACGGTCAAGAGGTCATCGAACAAAAAACCACGCTTACGATCAAGTTCTTGCGCACACGTATAATCAAAACGCTATTGATTTATTGGGAATTTTCTCTGGAGTTGGTGATGCACGTAATAATTGGGAGCAAATGCTCCTAATGCAACATCCTTAGTTACTGGTGCTTGAATAAGAATCTCGATAAATAACCCCCCCCCTCTCTCTCTCTTTCTCTCTC